TAATTTGGTGTCGAATAAATCTGTGTCGAATCGAGCGGTGTCGAATCGTACTGTGGTCAATAGAGTATCAACCGATACACAGTCTTTGTCTGTACTTACTCATTGTCAGTAGTTCCTTTGTCCTACCTGGCAATGGCTGAGTCATCAGGACTTTAGCTTGGCAGCAGCTCTTCAGTATCTCCCAAGAGATCCTGTGCTCCCTTTTCAGCTAGTCCTTGATATGGTTTTTCCCTGTTGCAAAGGGAACTCCAACTATCTGGCAGACTGGTTCCTCTAAGATACATAGTTTTGCCAGACTATCAGCCACTTCATTGCCTTGGATACCTTGGTAGCCAGGTACCCAGACAAGCGTGATGTTGTTTCGCTCGCCCAATCCGTTTAGAGCTTGCATACAGTCCCAAACCACTAAAGATTCAGTGGTGGTTTTGGCAAGAGCTCCTATGGCTGCTTTGCTATTCGTATAGATATTGATCCTCCTAGTTTTTGTCTCTCTTGAGAGTAGGAGTCTTGCACATTCCAGAATGGCCAGGACTTCCGCTTGAAAGACCGTGGCCAGTTTACCCAGAGAGAAAACCTTTCTGTGATTTGATCCTGGACAGTATATGCCTGCTCCATAGCAGCCGTTTGCTCCAGATCCATCAGTGAACCATGCATGAGTGCTAGGCTGGTTCAGAAGATTTCTGTTTTTCCAGTCTGCTTTGGTAGTCAAGTTTATGGAGACCGCCTTGTCCACTTGGCGTACTTTGGATATTCTGTCTTGCTTTAAGGTAAGGGAAGGTTTATGAAGAAACTCGAGCTTGGTATGACCTACTCTGAAATCTCTTCACTCCCCCTGACACCTTAGTCTATATGCTGTGAGTTTGGCAGCGCTGATATGATAGTCAATCTTAGAGGTGGAATGCAGAGCGCCACTTCCAACGCTTCTGTTGGTGTCGTTCTCATAGTCCCTACCGCAGCCCTCAAGTAATTACCTTGTATAGGCTTTTTAGTAGGTTCTTTGACTCCATCTTTTCCACTCTGGGCCACCAAACAACAGCATACGGTAACCTCGGTACTAATACCGTTTTGTATATCCATAGGGCAGTATTTAATTTAATACCCCAGGATTTTCCCATTGCTCTTCTACACGCCCAGTATGAGGCGTAGAATTTGGATTTCTTTATATCGAGATGTGTTTTCCAATTCAGTTTGGTGTCTAAGTGGACTCCCAAATATTTCACTGACTGGACGTATTCTATATCTTCCCGGCAGAGTCTAAGCGGCTCAATGGCTTCAGGTTTGTATTTCCTGGTGAAAATCATGGCCTTGATCTTTGATAGATTAGCCCTAAGTCTTTTTAATTGACACCAATCTTGCGTGATCTTAAGAGCTTTTCCCATAGTCTCTTTAAGTATTGGAAGAAAGTTGCTTCGCACTATAATGGCCACATCAGCGTAGCCAAAGGCGAGAAAACCTGTCTTCTGTAATTTATATAAAAGTTCGTTCACGACCAAGCACCACAGCAGGGGGGATAAAATTTCCCCCTGCGGGCATTCTTTGGTGGAAAAACCATGCACGTTTGAGTCCCCATGATTAGCAATCAGGATTCTTCCTGTTAGCATGTTTTGTGTCCAGTCTGCTAGTGCGGCTGGAATGTCGTGTCTGGTCATCGCCTTCCCGATTACATCATATTAGGTGCTATCAAAAGCTCCCTCAATGTCCAGGAAGACGCCCAGGACATATCCTTTTGCCTCCAATTGCTTCTCGACCCCGCTCACAAAGTGGTGCAAGGTATCCGTGGATCTGCCCTCCCTGTAAGCATATTGGGAAAAGGCCAGTGGATATGTAAGCAGGTCCGTTCTTCAAGAATCCGTCGATTAGCCTCTCCAACGTCTTAAGTACAAAGAAAGGAAGGCTGATTGGTCTGAAATCCTTGGCTGAAATATATCCATTTCTGCCAGGCTTGGGGATAAAGACCACTCTTGTACCATTATAGGCCTTAGGAACATGTCTTAGGGCTATACTTGCCTTAAAGATTTTAGTAAGTGGACCGACTAGTACCCCCAGTCCCTTCTGAAGAAGGACGGGATAGATACCGTCTGGTCCAGGTGCTTTATATGGGTTGAAGGTCTTAATAGCCCATTCAACTCCCTTTAGATGGACAACCTCAGCTGCCAGACGCCACTCCCTGGGTTTATATACCCTAGGTTTCGGCCGGCGAGGTTGTATGTTATTGTCAAAACCTGGGAAGTGGATTTCCATTAAATATTTTAATGTGTCCGACGCCTCCTCAGTAACATTCCCTGTTGGAAGCTTAAGACAGCCCAGTTGGGGACGGTAATCGAAGCAGAGAATTCTGTGAAGCCTGGATGCCTCTGGGGCACTCTCAATGCTTTCACAGAAGTGTTTCCAGCTTTTGTACTTTGCTTTCTTGATTTCCTTGCTGTACTCTCGTTGAGAGCTTCTGAAAGCCTCCCAGTGTGCTGCAAGTCTGGTTCTTTTTGCCTTACTGAATTTCCTCCTCGTTTTCAACCTGAGGTTTTCAAGCTCTTTGTTCCACTAGTGGATCTTAGTCACCGGGCTCCTTGCTTTTGGTGGGCAGTTTAACTCGTAGGCATTTGCAATGGCGTTCTTTAAGAAGTCCGCCGCATTTTCCAGATTTTTTGTGGTCCTGAAACTGGTTGGGGTCTCAACGAGCTGCGCCTTAAGATCAGCCCTAAAGCCCCCCTAGTTGGTTTTTTGTGGATTACNAACCCAGCTGATTTGCGGTAGTTGCTGAAGAGTTAGGCGTATTTGTCTGTGATCAGAGCCAGAGGGCTCATCCGAGACCCTCCAGTCGTTCACCAGACCCGCCACCTTCTTTGTACAAACCGTTATATCAATGACTTCCTGTCTTCTGGAGTCCAGGAATGTCGGCTCGTTTCTTCTGTTAAGAATGGTTAGCCCTGTGCCCACTAGGAAGCCATGCATACTCTCCCCCCGCGGATTGATGTTTGCACTTCCCCATCCTACATGATGGGAGTTCGCATCACAACCCAGCAGGAGTTCAAGCCTCCCGGCCTCCGCATAGGCTAGCATAGCAGGACTTTTACCTCTTTTGGTGGTGGATCGTCCATGGAGTCGTAGGGCATATAGACTGATCCTATGGGTACCTCCATGTCCTCTTCCTCGGCCAACTTTACTTTCACTTCGATGACTGTGAGGTCCTTGCTGCTGAGCTGTGGCAGAAAGATAGCATTTAGTCCTGTAATTACTATGCAAGATTTTACTCTTTTTTCCGAGTGTGCTTTGTATAAACAGCCACACCCACTCAGACTTCTTATTGCACCGTTAACAATCCAAGGTTCTTGGATTAGTGCAATACTTGTATGCATCACAGCCATACTCCTGGCTAAGATAGCCGAGGCGCTTTTGCTGTGGTGCAAATTAATTTGGGTCATTTGGATGCCGGGAGGAGCCATTTTTAGGCAGTCTCGACATCCTCCGACGCGTTCTTCTTCTCAGTCGTCTTTCCGCGCTCCCGTCCCGCCACTTTAACGGTGGCTTGGCCGAGACCAAGAAAAAGTCTGAAGCCACAGTGCTTCAAGGCTTCCAGTGCCGAGTCGCCAACCAGGCAAGAGAAGTGGGCGCTCAAGGCGTCCCTACTGTACGTCCCTCTATTGACGACCCATTCACTGGTTGCCAGCTCTGTGTTCTGTTGGTTGAGGAGCTTTAGAGCCTCCTCAACATCTATGTCAGGTTCCTCCACATGCACCACCACCCGGTGTTGCCTGGGTAGCTCACCGACCGGCAGCACACGCAGAGGAATTTCCCTGACTTTTGCTTCGGGGGAGTGAACCTTAAGCCACTCCGCCGACTCTTTATTGGCGCACACGACAATGAGTGCGCCATCCCTTTCCCAGGAACCGGTGAAGGTGGGGGCTTTGTCATTTTTGGACATGCCGAAAATGAGAGTCCTGATCAGTTTCCTGATCTCTACCGCCTCATCGGTTCCTATCTTCTTGTCAGGGTAGCCCTCCAGTACGGGGGCTATCCTAACCAGTCCTATTGTCGCCTGTGCATACGACCTCTCATTTCTGAGTCTCTTGCCCTGGCGATTTTCTAAGGGGCTGGGAGTAGTGTGCTCCGGCCTGGCGCGCTTTGCCGCGCCACTCAAAGCCCGCTCACCCCCAGCTCCATTTTTTTAGCAAAAGGCTGCTGAGGGACTGGGGCCTTATTGGCCCCACTCTCCCCGGCTAGCATCTGTTTATTATAACGGCGCCTAGCGGCCCCGCTATATCTTTGCGGTATTTTGGGTATTGGGCTTCTGAGCCCGCTCCCGCACTACAAGATTCTCCTGGGCGTTTACCTCCAGAGGAGGCTTCGCTTTTAGGGACTGATTTGGGGGTGATTGTATTTTTATTAAATTCCATTTTGTTCCCACGAGTATCGCGGTCGCGCGGTCTCACCTAGCCAGAGCCGCGAATGGCTGGGGCTTGGCTCAGTACTCCTGGATTTCGCCCGGTATCCAGAAGGCACCGTTCACGACGCAACTCTCCTTGCGCCACGCAGCTCTCGGCACGGTCGCTCACACCTTAACTTGAGGGGTTCCTCTTAGTTGGTCACAGACGGGCCTATCCCTGGATGACCATGGCGGATGACCACCGCCCGGCGCAAGAGCCCACAACCCCCGAGGACACCAAATGCTCACTTTCTGTGGTCAATTGTCTCGTCAGATTACACTTCTATTGTGACGGCACGATCAGGCAGATCCGCCAGCGTTCAGAGAGAAGCTGACGATCAATGCCCGACCACGCCGCCACTAGCACATGCTGTGAACAAAATAACGTTTCGTGTAGTTACTGCGAGGCGGCCAGACCATGTGCGCATCGAGCGCTCCGCGAGCTTTGAGCTCCCGCCTCGGAGCTACTACAAGATGGGAACCCGTTCGGGGGGGTGGCACGCCTTAGTGAAATATAAAAGTGATAATATAACAGAAATAGTGCTAATAAATAAAATTAAACTAAAAATCGGAAAAGGTGAACAAATATAAGAGAGCCACAATTGAGAACATACACGTNGGAATTAAAAACACGTTTGCATCTTAAGAGAGTGATGCTTAAATATACTATTTTTGACTAATTAAAAATTAAAATTACGAAATTACGAAATGGGACGTTACAAACGTTTTTTATACACCGAAGAAAATATCCCTCGCTCCACAGCTTATTGTCGGCGACAACGAACTGCTCGTCAAAAAGTGTCATTAAAATATCCTTACAATTTTGATCAAGTACTGTTTATTATAATAAATAATAATAATTAATATGTCGTTTGCTCGAAGTTTTCCTATTGAACCAATATTAGAATCATTGTATACANTAAATAACAAAAAACCTAATTTTTTTGAGTTTGCTATTTGTTTTCATATACTTGATATTAAATAATTTAAGTAAAATAATTTGTATCAAGTAATGTAAGTTTTTGTATAAAGATTCTGATATATAACATTTTTTTTCACTAGAAAGTTTATTTAATTTCAGAATACAGTATTACTACTGTGATCAAAAAGTAAGGTGAAATTGTCATTTAAAACTCCCGGGCATTAGGAAGGCAGGTAATTTTTTTTCCTAGGTTGGTAGGACTGTCTATAATATTTGCCAAGCGTCTGTTTGTCAAAAGGTTTAATTATCTCCGAGTTACACGTGTTTTTGTAAATAATCAAAAGTGAATTTTTTGATTTTTACAATGGGTGATTTTGTTGAGCAAAGAACTAGCATCAAATTTTGTTTGCGGAACGAATATTCTTGTGCGGACACGTTGAAAATGTTGCGGAAGGCCTTTGGTGATCAAACTATGGCACAAAAAAACGTTTATAAGTGGTACAACGAGTTCAAAGCGGGCCGAGAACGCGTTGAAGACGAACCA